TGTAATAACTTCCGATTGCCGTCTAATGTGTGTTTTGGCCATGTAATGTTGCTAAAATTAAATATGTTACTACCTCTGACTCCGAGTCAGAGCAGCGCTCATGGAAGAGAGAACACAGACAGACAGCGCTGGAAGCTGCTAATGCTCATCAGTAAATCAGTGGAAAATAAATAGAAATCATGATTCTGTCTGAGCTATGCTTTTTAAAACGAACACGCACTAGTGTAAATGTAGCCTAACAGATGTGTAAACTGAAGACTATTTGAGCTTTATTAAAACTATTTGCACTGATTTATTGTGTTGGTTACATTTTGTTCCTTTGTGCAGTGGCTCAGGAGATGAGTCTTTGAGTTGGTATAAACATCAACAAGCTGAAAAATAAAACCAAAGTTTTTTTTTTTTTTAAGATAATGTAATCTTGTTAAAATTGATTTAATAAAATTGGTATCGAAAAAAGTATCGTTCAGGAACCGGTATCGAAGTCAAGGTATCGGTATCGATATCAAAAATTTTTGAACGATACCCAGCCCTACTGAATATAATAATTTTCATATATAGTAAATTGCTTGCGCCTCAGAGCGAGCAGACGAAACACAATAAATGCTACCATTGCTTTCGGAGGTGGATGCCTGCTGTTTGGGAACGCATTCGTGTCAGACAGTTCTGGGAGGCAATTATACAGAAATAGTTTAATGACAGACTTTGCTCAGGCATTTAAGAATGACTGTAACATTTCAGATGCTGTGAAACAAGATCGGCCCGCTGGTTATTCAGGTATTGGCGTCCCATAGCGCAAAGTCACGTGACTCACGTCTTTGATGCACATGGAGGAATTTATTCTGCAAATGTGTTTCCATCTCCCATTATTCGCATTAACCCTTTTTGGCACAAGTCAAAAAACACCTCAAATGAGCATAATGTATTTTATTTATTTTGCGAATTTCTGAAATTTGGTGTTTCCATTACTCGTTTCTGATGCGACACGTCGAAATGCGCATAAACAAGCACAGGGAGAGTGCAAAAACAAATTAGAGTGAACTGCAGCAGCAGAACCTGTTTACCAAGAGCCCTCGGGTCCTGCCGCATAGTGCACCCAGTCAATTCATACTGCTCAGATGGGATCAATTGTGTGTTTCCATTTATAGAGAGACTTTGTCCTTGTTGTCTTTCTAAATTTGTTTGCATCTGTGTGTCTGCAGACTCACCCGGAGTTCCAGCCAGCGCTAACGCACACCAGCTCTTCCGCGGCTTCAGCTTTGTGGCCTCTAACCTGGATGAAGAACAGCCGCTGGCCGAGACCAAGCAAAATTCTGTTAACCCCATTGTACAGGTGAGCAGGACTCTGAGAACTCTTATGGAGATTTATGATGGCAACCATCCACAAGTCACTCAACATACCTTAGCGAGTGCATAGCAACATGTTATAAGCTACTAAAAATACTGTAGCAAAAGTATAGAAACTAAAAGCTATTTTAAAAAAATACTGAAAATACATTAACTGTTGTAGCAACATGCAAAAACAACTCAAAATGCATATAGCGACATGTTAAAAGCCACTCAGAATTCCTTAGTAAACCTATAACAACTAAAAGCCATTCAAAATACCTTAGCAGCCACATAGTGACACGCGAAAAACAGTTAAACTACATTAGCACATGCAGCAACATGCTAAAATCAACTCAAAATACCACAGCTGCACAGCCACATGCTAAAAGCCACTTAAAGTACCTTAGAAAACCTAAAGCTTCTAAAAGCCATTCAAAATACATTAACAACCACATAGTGACATGCAAAAAACACTTCAAATACCTTTAGCAACATGCTAAAATCAAATCAAAATACAGCAAATGCATAGTGAATGCTAAAGATCACTCAAAATACCTTAGCAACTGCTTAGGAACGTGGTAAAAGATACTCAAAATAACTTGTATACTAACTAAGGCTACGTTTACATGACAACGATGTAGTCAAAAACGGAAAAGTTTTTCCCTTGCATTTTTAAAAAGTTTCACGTATACACGACAACGTTTCAAAACGATTCACGTTTACACATATCCGTGAAAACGGCCAAAAACAGTGTATTACGCATGCCAGGCCAGTAGTTGGCGCTGTCACCTTGTTAGTAAACAGTACCTGTAGGGAATTGACGATTATTCGTTGTATGTGACGCGTCTCCGCTGTTGGTTGTAATATTGGTGAAGTAAATCCACACTTTGCTGAAGAAGCGTTAGCAAACTCTTGAGCAGCAACAACCATGTACTCCGCCATTGTTGTGTATGTTTGTTCGCGCTTGCCTTTAAAATCGACACGTACTGCGCATGTCTACATACCTAACACGTACTACGCACGCGCATGACGTCACCGTTTTCAAAGATTCCCGTTTTGGGTGTTTGCACGGAAACGATAATGGTGGCGTTTTTAAAAACTTGCACGTTGAAGCCCGTTTTCAAAAATATGCGTTTTCAGTCCCCAAAACTCTGTTGTCGTGTAAACGAACAGGCAAAACGCATAAAAAGTTTCCCGTTTTTGGCTGAAAACGTTGTCGTGTAAATGGCCCCTAAAAGCCATTCATAATATTTCAGCAACCACATAGCGACATGCGAAACACTTAAAATACCTTAGCACATGTAGCAACATGCTAAAAAAACAACTGAAAATAGGGCATAGTAAGATGCTAAAAAAATAATTTAACACTCTAAATACCTTTAAAGTACCCTAGCAACCACCCACATCACCTATGCATCAATGCCGCAAATTTTGCACTGGCAAACTTCACCTCCCATTTCTTCAGAAAATATACAGATGTATTTTCGTTCGTGATGCAAGCATGCCCGCAGTAGTCATGATGACACAACAGAGTGATGAAAAATAATCAATATTTCACTTATGCATGCTTTGCTACATTGAGGGCTAGTTGCTGACATGTAAGAAATATTGCAGTCAGCCGAGCCAAAGTTGTTTTCTGTATCCGTTTAACCTTGGTGGCTGTACACACGCAGTCAATTCAGACCTATTCCTCAGGGAAGCACTGTTGTGTTGCACAGCACAAAACAAGAAGAGAGAGAAGGAAAAAAGAGCCCCGTGTTACATAAGCTGAACTAATTCTGCCAGATGGTTCATACCTGAAGAGCTGCTTTATTGAAGTATCTGAGCTGAGGCTGCTGAGAGGCTGAATGAGATGTATTGATTGGCGGGAGCGCACTGGCACACGAGCGCCGTTGTCTAGAATAGATCATTGTGATCTGATGTGGCATCTGCCGAGCATACGATATTAACTTACTTTGATAGCACTCATGAACATGCATGAGTGCAACTATTTGTAGAGAATTTCTAAACCTGTGCGCTGAATTGCTTTTGTTTTCGGGAGGCGTTTCGTTTACCTGAAGATGCTGTCGGTTATTTGCATCTGTGACATATATGTCTGTTTCACTTTTAGCCGATGAATATAAATGTTTCTCCATGCACTGTTACAAAGCACTGAAGACTAGATTTGTATTTCCTGAAGGGGGAAAAAAAATGCTTGCAAGGTAGCAAAATAATGGTGTTAAAGTTTTAACATCAGGTTACTCCTGGAGGACAGTCAGTGCAGTGAGTGTGTTGTAAGATGCTTGGGGTTAAATCATCATCTACAGTGGACACTGAAGCCACACTTCAACATGCATGAATGCTATTGCATTATATTACAATAAATGAAAAAATTGCTCAAGAAAGGAGACTGTTAGTGGAACATGTCCACAGTTGAAGTAGTGTTGTCATTTTACCACTCATAATGTCATATAATTACTCAGTATATGAATGCGTGTTGTTTTATTGCAGCAACTTCATGGCAACAACATTCATTTCACTGACGGCTATGAGTTGAAAGAAGATATCGGCATTGGAGCGTATTCGGTCTGCAAACGTTGTGTCCACAGAATCACCAGTGTGGAGTATGCTGTCAAAGTAAGTATGACATCTAATCCTGAAAAGCACTATGCTCTTCGTGTGACAAAGCACACAGTGCAGAGTGTTATTTAGTGAACAGCAGAGGCCGTGGCTGTTTCAGGAGAGGTTTTTTGATGAATTGCCATAGAGGACAGCATCACTCAGTGTCAGTCGAAGCTTTATCAGACACCGCTGTGACCAGCCCACTTCTTTTCAGATTATTGACAGAGCCAAGAAGGACCCGTCTGAAGAGATCGAGATTCTTCTGAGATACGGCCAGCACCCAAACATCATTACTCTGAAAGATGTGAGTCACACTTAAAAAAAAATACAAATAACAAATGTTACTTAAGTTTTATGGAGACCCCCTAGACTAAAAAATATATATATATATATATATATTTAAAAATTTAAATTATTTATTTTTTTTTAATCTGTGCCCATAGTTTTTGTAATCTATATAACTTTTCTGTCTAAGTAGATCTAAATATATATTATTTTATCATGAAGATAAAATGATATTAAATTAGTTAATAGAGGTTTCCTGTTTTCAATTTCATAAAGTGTAGTTTTCAATAATACATTTCTATTTTGCCTATACATGTTTATTGAATTAAATTGGATTATAGTAGGAGACACTTAATTTCACAGAATGCTCTAATTTACTTATTTACTTCTAATAAATAGTGGATAGATTCCAATTTTGATGTCAATGTTCTTTTAACTTTTTTGATGAAGTTAAGTCTGAATTTTGGTGTGATTAGCTTGGAAAAAACATATAACTTAGAAAATTGCCTAATTAGTTGGGCAAAAAAAAAGTATTCTTCATATCAGAGAATAAGTAGACATAATTAGTGCAAATTAAAATGATTTTCTTACTTAGTATTTATATTGACTTGTTTTCTAGTACAAATATCGAAACATTCTTGATTCAAGATGAATTTACTTGAAAAGCAAAATGACTAAAGATATTAAGTCTTGTTTTCTGAAAAGAAAATTAACAATATTTTGTTTAGAACGAGACACAATATCTGCCAATGGGGTAAAAAAAAAATTAATTCAAAGGGATTATTTTATTATTATTTTTCTTACCCCAT